GGTGGAGGAGGAGGTAAAATAAGGGGGGGCCCCTCCGGACGGGTGGTCGAGAGCAGCGGAGGGCGGGCGAGGAAATGAGAGAACTACAGGACGGCGTGGGGTTTTTGTTTTTATATACAAGACACATTTATCCATTAAATTTAGAACACGGTACAAAAAAAAACACTTCAACTAATTCATCTTACAATGCTGTTCATATCAATTACTGTTCTTATTCCTAATAATAAGGGGGTTTGCTGTAGGCGACTCGCAGCTTCCACTCCTTTGGATCCGAGAGGTGGTGGGGCAGCAGGAGGTGGGGAAGGAGGGGGAAAGAGGGGAGAAAGGAGTAAAAACCAAAAAAGGCCCCTACGGCAAACGGTTCAGAATCTGAATGCAGAGAGAGAAGGGGAAAAAAAAAAAAAAAAAAAAAGGAGGGGGGGAAAAAAAAAAGAAGAAAAAAAATACAAATTCTATATTACATACAACGGGAAAGGTGGCTGGAGACAGACAAGGCCGAGCCGCCTGCCCTGCCCGGGGGCTGTGGGGCCGGGCGCTGCCCTGCGGCAGGACGTTCTCCTCCCCGGGATCCTTCGGCGTCGGGTTCGGTGGGATTCTCTTCTTGGAAGCAAGTGGTGGGGGGGTGCGGCGAGGGCCGCCCCCGGCCTCAGTTGGCGCCCCAGCTGTAGCTGTTGTAGGCAGACTTGTTGGCCTGGGATTTCTGAGGGATGGAGCTGCCTTGGCTGCGCTGGCCGGAGCCGCTCTGCGGGAAGGGGGCGAGAAGGAGAAGCGGGGCAGTTATCGCGGAGGGGGGAAAACAACCGCTGTCTCCGGGGTCCCAACCCCGGCCTGGTCTGCAGGGCGATGGTCCACCCCCCCTGCCCCGGGCCCCCCCCCTCCACTCTGCGCCTTCCTCCAGAGCGGCACCGTGGCGGGACCGCAGGCAAGCAGGGCCCCGGCAGTGCTGCGGGGGCTGCCGCGCCGCAGGGAGAGGGGAGGAAAAGGGGTGGTGGGGGGGAAGGGGTAGAGCAGGGGTGTGTGTGTCTGTGCGCGCGGGTGTGTGTGTGTGCACATACTGACTGAGGGCCTCTCTCCTCGCCTGGCGGGGCCACGGAGAGCGGGAGAAGGAAGGGGCTACGTGAGCCTGGGGGGCCTTAGGGGCGGGGGGAGACCCCAGGGCAAGTGCAATGCATTATCAGAGAGGTTCATTACCTGGTCTTCCTGCTGGCGTTGGCAGCACAGTATCATCTGCAAATATGGAAGCTGTTGCAGTACCAGGATATGTAAAATAAAGGGACAAACTATGACAATAGAAATCCACGGTTAGACCTGCAAGCTATGGTGTTTTTGGCGAGTAACCCCTTCGCTGCTGGCCTGCGGAGCCGCCACTCCGAGGAAGGGGGAGATCAGGGCGTACCAGGCATGTCTGCGTGAAGGGGCACTACCCGACCGTACCTGGTACAGCCCGGCAGCGAGGGGGGGCTGTGCCGAGTACCCCCCAGCGGAGCGCACCCCGGGCCTTCCTCACCTCATCCTCTTTATCGGCCCTGTGTGTATGTGCAGGTGTGAGCGTGTGCGTGTCACCGCGTGTGTCCGCCGCAGGGCGTGAAGGAGGGAGGGAGAGGGGGGGGCCGGAGAAGGGTGGTGGGGGGGGAGCGAGAGCCCTAGGAGATACCCCAAAGGGCCGGGTTTTTTGGTACGCCGCCGCCGTCGCAGGGTTGATGGGGCCACCGCTGCCCAGCGCCGAAGGCAGGTTGAAGGAGGCTGCCGGGGTTCCAGTGTGAAATCCCTGCTTCTCGAAGGATTGCTGAGGAGGAGACGCCAGTGGCGGAATAAGGGCTGGGAGCTGGGTAGCACGCCCCGGCCCCTGGCTGGCAGAGTCCCCCTCCCCAGCTCTACAAGTCACAGGCCCGGGAGTCAGTGTGTGGTGCAGAGAACGGCCAAGAGTCTCTGCCCGTGGCTCTTTCTGGGCTTGGAATTGCTCTAAGCTAGAAAAGGCCAATCATTTCCTTTTTCCCCGGCTGGCTGCTCCACAGGGAAGAGACCTCACCGCCCAGTGAGGCTGTCTGAGAGGTGGGCTTCCACCCCCAGCAAGGCAGCGCCTTCCTGGAGCACACACCAGATACTAACCTGAGTTTTGGAGTAGACAGAGCCCGAGATGTCCGGCACTCCTGTATTACTAGATGTCACCGATACACCTAGGGAGAAGGAAAGGCAAGCGACCGTTAGGCAGCAGTCACTGGTTCAGCAGGAGACACTGATGCTAATGCCAACATCAAGGTGGTGGAGAGCTCTAGTGGCCCAGCAGCCAGGGAAGGTTCGGAGACAGACATCGTCTGAGGGAGCAGGGTCTTGGCAAAGCCAAGTAGCAAAGTGCCTGTTGGAGTGTAAGTTCTTTTGCTCTGGATACCACCAGTGCCTGAATGCCTCCAGAAAAAAAAAAAAAAAAAAAAAAATAGGGGCCTGCTGCCACCCAGAGAAATGCACATTCTTGAAAAGTCAAAAAAATAGCAACTCTGAGAAGAGCTGGGGCGATGCAGCAGACAAAGGAAACAAACTCCCAGCATGACAGTGTAGCAAGGACGGCCCGAGAGCTCCTTGGAAGTAAAACAGGCAATTGCATGTAAAGGCAACTCAACTGTGGGCTGGGGCGGTTGGTGCAACGAGTGGCAAGGCTGGCACACAACCTGCACTTGATGGTGGCTGTTTCTGACAGGTGGTGGTACAGAGGAAAGCCTGAAGAATCATTTAAAGCCCGGAAAAAAGTGTTGTAATCAAAGAGGTTTGAAAGACTCAGTACCGGGTGACCTGGTACAGAACTGAAGTATCTTCGCAAAGAGAAAATAGTGTCTTGAAGGGCTCTAATGTAGTAAAAAAAGGCACAACAGGAATTTAAAAGTTGGAAGAGGGACCCAAATGCAGGCCCTTTGTAAGTCAGCCAGACATTAACCAGTGAAACCCAGTACCGAGACAAGTGGGAGGTTCACGACCTTCTTGCCTCTAGAAAGCATGCATCTGCCAAACACAGAAGTCAAACAAGTTCCCAGGATCAAATCTGGAATAATTATTGTTCTAGCGATCACATACAGGCAGTAAAAAAACCCCCAAACCTACAAACCCCAAACAATTCAGCAGCTTAAGCTCTCTGACACGAGTCCAAGGCTCCAGCCCACCAACTGCTGAGCACAGAGGAGGGTGTGAAGTGCTCCGTACTCCTCAAACCCGCTCCAGACCCGGATGCAGAACAAGCCTGGGCTTTTCCAAGGAGAATCAGATGATCTGTGTGTTGCACCGCAGCCATTTTCCTCTCTTATTGCTGGAGGCAGTAAGACAGCAGTGCCCTTACACGACCAGCGAGACTGTGACCAAGCCCTGCCAGTCAGTAACCGCTGCTGAGAGATGCTCTGTCGGGTCTCTTACCAGTGCTGTATCCGTGAGAGCCATAGCCGCTGGGCTGCTGAAAAGGGGTCGCTGATGCGTTGACGCTGACATTCACACCATGCTGCTTGGAAGAGGTAGGAGCAACCTACAGAAAGGAGAGAAGCGGAGTGAGGAGGAGAGGCTTTGCTGCGTTGCCCTCCTGCCTGAATCCCACGCCTTGCCTCCGGGAAACTCACAGGGAACACGGCGGGCCCGTATTGGAAGGTGCTGGGGAGCCCTGGTACCCCTGTGTAGTACGGCAGACTGGTGTAACTGTAGCCAGGAGGCAGCGCTGGGTTCAGGAACGTCTGCTGCGTGGTGTGGTGAGTCTGGGTCTGGCTCTGCTGAGGCTGGGCCAAAGTCGTTGCAGGAGCGGGAGAAGAGGCATCACCTCGGCCAAATTTTGTTAAGTCACCTGGAATGCAGGAGATGAAAGGAGACTGAAGAACAGACGTGTCAAATCCTGGCCAGTTCTAGCTCAGCACAGAGATGACCCAGCCTTTAGATCAACGGTGACTTGAATCAACTCCCCTCCTACAGCTAACTAAGGACTGCAGTCCTCACACCTTTACACGCTGATAAGGCCAAGCTGTTAATTGCTTTCCTCACCCCTAAGAGGAGGACCCCTGAGGGGAAGGGAAACCCACAGCAGCGAAGCTACAGTGCTGCGCCGCCTGATGTCAGCCTACCATCCGGCACTGGATAAACCTGCAGCCCAATGCTCGAGCTCTCCCACAGCCCTCTCCGTGCATCAGCAGCCGGCCTGAACGCAACTCAGCTCCCTCCAGCGCCAGACCCGAGACCAGAGCAGCAGCCTGGGGGCCCTGTCCTACAGCAAACAGCTCCCGCTCCTCCCTGAAGAGGAGAGTCAAATATCTTCCAGTTGAGGATGTGTGAATGGCTCCATTTTACAGCAGGGCTCACACCTCCTCCTCTCTTGTTGGCGGAATCAAATACTGCTGCAGAGGCCCAGCAGCTCGCGGAGAGTACTCGGAAATACAGCTTGCTCTCTTCCCAGTCTGGGCACTGCGCAAGGGGTTGGCTGCAGGGCTCGGGGAAGCTCCCTTCGCTGCTCTTTCATGCAAACACTCTCCCTATTCAGAGCTCACACAGTAAGCCAGTGAATTTCTCAGTGCTGCCCCAGCTCACAAGCGAGTCCAGGATAGCCACAAACATTAATTATCACCGATGTTAACTTGGCAAATCACGCATGCAGCAGTGCCGCACTCTGAGCTTGGGATTTCAGCTTCAGTGTGCCAGGCAAAAGCACTTCCGCACAAACAAGCTCTTGCTGAAGCAGGGGAGAAGTGGTGCTGGAAAAAGAGCGATCCACAAAGTGCAACAATTCCTAAAGCACGTGAAAGCTCAGCACAACTGCCACTCACTGCAAATCAGCAGTGTGAATAAATGCACCTACCAAGGTCAGCCCCCCACTGGGCATTTGGTGTGAATTTGACAGGTCCTAAATGCCCTGTTTTCTGTCTCCATAAAATTGTCACATAGAAAAAAAAAAACCTTAATTTCTCCAGATTTTGTATTTCTTTCTATTTTTACTCTAAGTGCTTGAGAAGCACTGCTTAACCCCTGCCTCACCACGACCTGAAAGGCAGTTCCCCAGTTTTACACCTCACAAATTCTTTCAGCCCTTCCTCGCTCCCTTTCCAACTGCTGCATCGACTCCTACTTGTCCACATTTTCCTGGTAACATGCCTCGACAGGACCAGATGATCAAAGGGAAGTGAAGAATTTAGCTGCTGAGAAACACGCTCCAGACCAAAGGCAGTGCAGGAGGCTGGCACAGATGTAGCTCCAGCAGACAACGGCACAGGAAACTAGTAAGCAGCAGCACAAACACCCTGATGGGATACGTAATCAGAGCAGGTTTTTTCCCTACCAGAGTATGGATTGCTGCTCAGGCTGCCATCTCTTCCAGTCAGCGGGGTGGTAGGCGTAGGGAACGGGATGCTGTAGTAATCCTGAAGGATAAAAACAAAAGGAGAAGAAGTTTTATGAGCTCTGTCCAAAGATGCAAAGGAGTATCTTTCGGAAAACAATTTCTGGACCGCAGATATGTTGGAGCATTGCCGTTCAATCAGCCACATCAACACTGATCACCACCTACAGCAACTCCAGGTTTCTGTAGCATGCACCATCCCCCTCGTCTGGCTATTAGAAGAACCAGATAAGGTCTACTGGTATGCAGTCCTTAACTGCCTGGACTTTCCCCTCCACTTCCCAACACAAAGGGACACATGTCATATCGCTGAATAAAACCCATTCTCATACAAGTGTTTAGCCACTGCCTCTTTCAAGGATCAGAGGCAAGTATCTACCGCAGCTCATCACACCACTGTCAGGCAAAACAGCTCTGCCTGCTGTAGATCTCGCATTCCCCAGCCCCACGTCTCTACCGCTGTCTGAATAACTAGCGCTCCTAACTCCCCAACTGCCAAGGAGCAACGGATCTAACTCCTCACTGCTGTCACAGAGAGGTGCATCCATTTAGCACCCTGTTCCTCCAGCTCTTCAGGACTACCTCACAGCCCGACCTGGCTGTACACCTGAAGCACCCAGCACCACCGAGCTGTCGCACCAGTGGAAGTGGCGTCTCCCTGTCAGCCTTCAGCACTCACCAATGGGAATCTCGTCTGGAGCATTTGCAAGTCATCATATCCATACACCTGTGGCTAGAAAAAGAGCAGGAGATGGTGTTAGGGGCACAGACTAAAGACACTTACCTAATTTTAGATTAAAAATTTAGAGAAGCGTGAGATAAAGCCAGAAGCAGACAATCAGAGGCTACACAATTACCTAGGCGCAGGCAGCCAGCATTCACTACTGCAAGACTGACACCATAGAATCATAGAACAGTTTAGGTTGGAAGGGACCTTGAAGATCACTGAGTTCCAACCTCCCTGCCATAGGCAGGGACACCTTCCACTAGACCAGGTTGCCCAAGGCCACATCCAGCCTGGCCTTAAACACCTACAACTGGTTTCCTCCTACAACTGGTAATTCTTCCTATTTATGTAGGAAATGTGTGTGTTTCACAGCAGGGGAAAAAAGTAATTTTTCAGATTTAGGTGTGAAGCAAGTTCATTAGCTGATATTCTTAAAGCAATTTCAGAGTATTTGCTTACACACAGGCAAGCAGATTGAGTAGCAAAAGTACAAATTTCCATTTCTCCAAGTTGGATAGTTTGGAACAATGACTCCCAAAGCGGAATTTCATGTTTATCATTTTCTGAGTACGCCATTTACAGTAATTAAGAGCAAATATCGCCAAGACTATTTTTATAAGCTGCTCAAACAAAGAGTGAGCACCAACACCTAGCACCGCTGCTCCAGACCACAAAGGCACTCGACAATTTTACTCTAGAAATTATTCCGACACTGAAATCTGTCCTCGCCTTCAGAAGAAGGCTGTGACACACCACTAGACTTTGTGGCAGTTGCCACTCTTGTTCTGACTGTTCGGCCTTTGTCATACTGTGGTGCTAATACAGCTCCACGCTTCTATGTGCCATGTTCTGATCGAGAGCTCCCCAAAGGCTGGGGAGGCTGTAGGGAACAGATAGACAGAATCTGCTCTGAGGTGACCAGAATGACAGACATTTACCCCCACGAGCACGTGGATTTCCTCTGCTACTGCTTCATGGAAAAGAGCAGGTCCAAACTCTTCCCATCCAAGACAGTCGTGCTGGACTGATGTTAGAGTTTTCTGGTTTCCCTACCAGACTACATCCCTCCCTGCTAGCTGAAGGCAGAGCTAGGAGGGATCTAGTGGCACAACACGACCGCAAAGAGCCGTTTGTCTCACTCACCGGATAGGCATGTAGCAACCCTGGAGCCATGATGTATGGATTAGGCAACAACGGTGGGACTCCAGGAGGGAGATTGGGAGGGGCTTTTCCTGAAAAGAGAAGAAAAAGGAAAAGTTCCACAGTGAAGCAAAGAGCAGAAGCTGTCTCTCTCAGTCCCCACACCCTCCTCCTGGTTAGCAGTACCCAGGAAAGTACCTGATGTTGTTGCAACAGAGCTGCGAGTTGAGGCCGTCACCGTGGAGTTACTACTGAGGCTGAGGCCCAGGCTGCTGACACTGCTGAGACTGGATGAAACGCTTACGACTGGTGGGGCGGCTGACACTGTGCTGGAGGAGGTGGAGAAAGTGCTAGCAGAAGAATGGAGGCTTGCTTCACTCTCCACACTTGTGTGCTAGGGAAGGAAGGGAAGAGAGTTAGGGGAACAGGCAGATGTAACTGAGCGCCGAAATATCGCTGGACTCTGCCTAAGCGGTGCTGGGTTAACGGTTGGACTTGATGATCTTAAAGGTCTCTTCCAACCAAAATGTTTCTGTCCTATACTATGTAAATATTGTGTGGCTCTGTCTGCACCTGGACGTTCCTGAGAACCTGGAATGAACTCAGCTGCTGCAGACTACAGAGAAACCTGCTCTGCATCTGGCTTGAGTCCAAAGTCCTGATAGCAGCCAACCCCTAATGCTTCCAAGCCTCTCGTGCGGCTGTGTCCCAACATGTCTGTCTGCTGGGAGAAGGAGGGCTGAACACCGCATTTGCGGTAGGGAGATTTATTCTGCTGCAGAAGCCAATAACCAGGGGCTCTGTACTGCAGGAGCTCCAGCAGGATATACATTTGAACAGTGACACTCCATCAGCTACCAGTTTCCTGACATCTGGTTGCAACTTTGCAGCACTTTCAAGAGCTGCTACAGGCTCGAAAGAATCTTAGAACGGTTTGGGTTGGAAGGGACTTTGAAGACCATCTCGTTCCATCCCCTGCCCGGGGCAGGGCCACCTCCCCCCAGCCCAGGTTGCTCCAAGCCCCGTCCAACCTGGCCTTGACCACCTCCAGGGATGGGGCAGCCACAGCTTCT